GGCGAGATGGCTCAAGTGGTTAGAGCGTGAATTTACTAACCGGAAGGCCCGTGATTTGAACCCGATCTCTGCCTCTTGACTCACCCCGTCTAGGCTTGGGCAAACTGGCAGTATCCCAGCCCTCGTGCTTCCTTCTGGTTGCATGGCAGCTAGGCACTGGAAGGGTGATACAGCTGAACGATTTTATGACTCCAGCCTTGAGTACTGGCCTAGTATTTTCTTTGCAAATGGCAGTGGTAATGACACTAGTGTATGACCAAGCGCAAACATTCAGTAGTGACTTCACCTCGACAAACACTAACTCCCGTTTATCTCATTTTGAGGGCGCTAATCCTTGATCAAAACCTATCAGCGGGCTTCTTAAATAAAACTAATACAGCCTTGCAGATATGTTGTTCCAAAGGTTTACCAATCGGATCAGCGGGATGGCTCTCTATGCGAGCTGAAGAATGAGACGAATTCGGACAGCACAATAATCGCATGGATATGGAAACCGCTGTTGGCCATGCTCTGTCATCATATTAGGACATTCCGATTTTCAGCGCTTGGCATCGAATACTGTCTACTGAATTTATGACTGGTTTTAACTTCATACTTACGGAACATTGAAAAGATCAGTGCAGAGCGCATGCGAAATGCAATTGAGACCAGTGCGAAGGTATGTTAAATAGACCTCTCGAACAAATACATTCTGTATACACTCTGGTTCCAATGCCCCAATATATACAAATATTTTTTGTCTTCTGTTGCTCGACTATATTAGGGTTCTTCCTCCATCATATACAAGCGTCGTTAATCCGTTTCATGTATTCTCGTTAGGCCGGACAGTGTTTGAAAATGGGTAACAGAATTTTAGCTTGCCACAAAGTGATGATTTTCGACAGTTGTATGCAATAAGGAAAAACTTAGCTGAAGAGATTCTAAATCCGTGTTACTTGCCAGATGGGGTAGTTAAACATCCATAATTTCATGACCTTATGTGAGCAAGCCACATCACTAAAGTCGCACCATTTATGCGAAATTCCCGATATCAGGGATTTAGCGGACGCACATGTAGATGGGAATCAGCTTAGGTTTCGCCCGATCCAACTGTGAACTGAGCATCTCAGTCACTGCCTTTAACTATCACACGTCATGGTCGAGTTGATAACCAGTTGACACGTTCGCGAGGATTGTGAGGGGGTGGGGTGGGGGGCTAGCAACCAATTGCCTTTGGAACGGCTAAGCAACTGCAGCCGTACATCCGGTGGACAAAAACAAAGTGGTGGACTCCACAGCACATTATCCAGTGGGTAGAGTATCCATTGTAACTTACTCAAGCTTGTCCACCGTCCAAAAACGGGAGATGTAGCCCTGGAAATAAAGATCCCGGTTGTAAAGGGAACGAATTGGAAAGCTTTTTCACGGGTTGAGACGTGATAGTTAGACTTGTGGAGATGCAAGGTAGGTGGATGGAGCAATTTGTTCCATTGGGCCAGAGATGCTTCTTCCGATGAGAAGGTACATTTCTAGCAGTTTGAGGATGACGTTGACAGTCCATCAGTAGACAGATGGTGTCGCCTCTTGAAGTCAAGGGTTTCGTCTTGGTCAGCAGGCACGGTAACTGAACGTGCCGGCACACGGTGAATCAAGATAAAAGAGGATGAGATCAAACTAAGTGCTGTGGATACCCTTTTACTTTCTGGATGTTACTCAAAGGAGATATTAGGAGGATGCAGTCCTAACGGGATTTGCCGGCACATGGCGAATCAAGATAAAAGAGGATGCGATCAAACTAAGTGCTGTGGATATCCTTTTACTTCCTGGATGTTACTCAAAGGGGATATTAGGAGGATGCAGTCCTAACGGGATGTTGTTATAGCACTGTTAGGGCAAGTTCAACACTTATCCAGTTGTGGAGGTAAGATTCTGATGAGCCCGGAGAACTAGGCCATCCTATACGCAACCATAAGTCACAGATGGCTAGTGCGTTTTCGTCAGTCGAAGCAAATCTACATGGTCGTATTTACCTCAGTGTTGCATCTAGCAAGCTTCCAGAGCTCCGAACATCGTTTTCGAAAACACGGTTGCAGGCCCTGTTTGTGGAATACACCTTCCGTCACTCGATGAGATGATTGCACTTGGCTTACACGCCTATTGAGCCATGTCTCTACACCCGAACACTCTAGGAAAATGCAGATTAAACGAGTTGAAAGGTGTCACACATGAAACACCTATTTCCCCAAATATCATACTAAGGGATAGACAGTGCTTCGCGGTTTTTTACTGACCAAGCTGAGCAGACATCCATCATCAACACAGTGCTGACTGAGTCTAAATTTAGTAGCAAACGTGATTGCTCAGCTTTATTACGCTCCTATGACCAATATACCTGGACGAATGGTTAACCTCTGGTAGGAAACTTTTTTTCCAATTCTTCTGGCTCCTCAAAGCTTCGTCTGGACATTTGAAACTAATCGCGATCGAGAGAAGGAGCAATTTCTTTGAACTAGCTCCCTTTGAACGGAGCCAATCATACTTAAAGACGTTTTGCTTACCGTGTGTGGCTGTTTCCGTTTTGCAGAGTAGTTTACTGAAGTACCACTATATTTGATCTTGATCTCGGTCTGTGATCAGCCTGAGGCCTGTCAGCGCAATGCAGCGGCGTGTCGTGCTTTGTGTACGTGTAAGTGAAGTCTCATTTGCCTTCAAGTCAACTTGGTCCCGGTTCTGGACATGCTGCATATACATGAGACCTAGACACGCCCACGTAGCCAAGATAGCTGATCAAGTGGCCAGAACCTACATTATTTCTGCGAGTATCGTGGCCTCCTCATCCATACGCTGATTGGAGTCGGTGCCACTATAAAGACCAACTAAATACTGAAGGATGGTGAAATAACGAACGGCAAACGACAGAGTTTCAACGCTACCACGTAATGTCACATAGTAGAATCCAAACTGAAATGAAATAAAGTGCACAGGCAGGCAAGCTGCTTGTTTGTATCACTGAGCCTTGCACCCTGTGCTGGTTTAATCGCTCGAAGATCTCTTGCACATCACTCCGTTCCACTGTTCGTTGTGCTATCCGGTGAACTTATTCAAAATAGTGTGAATGCTCTCACGTTAATTTCGGTGCGGAAAAGTTCGCGTTATTTACTAAATCCATGATTCACTGTGTTTTCGGTTCTTATGGTACATACTTTGATTATTACGGGGTTTTGAACGGAACCTAAGCCCCACATGTTTTCTTATCTCGAGATGCGCACATTTTAGATAAAGTGGGCTGCCAAAAAGACTGTGGAACCGTGAATTGGTTTGAAATCTCCATCGTCACCAGCTGACCACCATACTAAGGCTCTGGTGCAGCTCCAGTTGCCGTATGATTTTTCTCGTATTTTGATTAGCTTTAAGGATGAATTATCTGGTTCCTTAGGCCCACTGATCTATGGATATCGAAATAAAAAAACCTCCCTGAAGAACGTCTCTAAGCTGAAAGCGTTAGAGATAGCCGTTTGTGCATTCTCTTTGTTTGTACCGATGTGAAACTGAGTTTTCCTAGAGTGGTATGGGTTAAAGCGAAGAAACGAAGTTATCTGTTGGCCAAAAATGACTTGCTTTGCGCGTTCTCAAGGAATCCTCCGCTGTTCTTGAAAATGGGCAAAAGATGTCACAAGTTTTCAATTAGGTAAATCACTTTCGAAGTTAGACACACTTATACGGTCTTTGTCTGCTTCTCAATCGTATTTGTAAAGCACCAATAATTCATTTTTTTCGTTTGTCGCCTGCGACCGACTTTCATAACGTTTGAAAAGTCCCGTTTAGACAAGCAAAACCTGAGTGGGATGACACTTTCTTGTGGAGAACTGAAGGCCGCACAATAAGTTGGATGCATTCTTTCCCAAAAATGCACCTAAGCTGCTCAACCAACCTATACACATGACTGTATGTTACATATTTGAATGATAGTTGAGATAATTTCTGCTTGTTTGGCTCACTTCGCCTGTTCATTAAGGATGTACTTTGACACGTTAACCAACGTATGCTTTTGAAAAACGCTTCTCATGGAATGCCAAAATGGGTCCGTTATGTATATTAGTTGTATTTCCCAGTCCACACAAATGTGAACCGGAACTAATATGGAAAGGATACGCGCACTTAGTGCATGCTGTACGTGAAAACGATGAATGGATGACTCGTCAGCTAGGTTAGGTCAAGCTATGTTCCAAGGTTAGCAGCGGTGTGTGAATGTACGAGTTGCGACTGTATTCAATAGAAGAGGTGAAACTACCCATTCAAACACACGCTGATGATGTCTTCACTGCACCTGGCTGTTACTCGGTGTCAATGACGTTCTTTTTGTCAGTTCCTATCCTGATTCCTGATGTGATGTGACTTGGAGATCTTTACTCTGGGATTTTTACTCAAATGCTGCTACTAAGGGCAAAACTAAGCTAGAGGATCCTTTAATGAATGGATCATTTCTCGTTACATATGAATGCGGCTTTTGCACGTGAAAGCATTCTAGATGCCCTCAGCCTACAGAGAAGGGCACGGTTAGCATGACGGTACATTCACGTTGTACGATATATCCGGGCAATTACCCAATAAATTTTGGCAATACCCTTATATGAATATTAAACCACTCTATCCAAATGCACGGATTAAAAGGGTTATTGGATGGATTTGAAAAGGTTCGGTTTGAAGCTTTTATGTCAAAAGTGAAACGTTGCCCAATTAAAAACTACCAATTGTTTACCCAGCCCTTCTGAAACGGTTATTTGATGGCTTTATGCAGTAAAAAAAACCTACACTGTTCCATGCCTCGGTGTGGACCTGATTAGCGCTCACCGCACATTTGCATTTGGAAAACATGAAATTGAATTTCATTTTCATGAGGTTGGTCGGTAAGTCTAATTCCAGTTCACGTGTATCACACCATGACAGCCAATAGACAACAGTGAATAATGACAACAGTATTAAACGATATTTGTGAGATTATGTATTGGATATGTACAAAACTGGAACTATGACGGTTAAAACAGTGTTCAAATTTGTACTTGTCAATTACATGAAGTACACCGAGAAAACCATTGCAGTGGCAGTGAGGCCGGAAAAGACACATGAAATCAAAATTAATGCTTCTGCGATTGCGCCCACTAGTTTCACACATCGAGCTGCTTGGGCTTGAAGCATCTGTATTTTCAGTTCACCTGGATCCTCCCAACGTCCTTGTCTGGCCAAAGCAAGTGTTTCATCCGGACAGGGCATTGTGGGGCACATTTCCATCTGTAGGTGACCCTCACCACCTCGGCAAGCCTCTCCCAGGCAATCACGTGTTCTCACACGGCGCTGATATTCGGAAACACCACAGCTTGGGCTACATTCAGACCATGGAGACCACTGAGCCCATTTCCCTCTAATCAGTTCACATTGATCACCGTAGGCCTCATCTGGACAATTGCAGTAGGTTTCCTATGGGAAGAAGACGTTAGTTAGAAGATGGAAGTGATGACTGGAGTTATCGAGAAAAGGTAAACAAAACATCATGGATTTGTAGTGCAAAGCCCCGTAGATGAATTGATCGGAATCTTGTATCGAGTGGTCAGTGCAAACCACAATGGTGGGTCTACGTCAGGTCTTGAAAATGGGTACCATTTAGATGGAGCATCATACACGAGTACTATACCACAGGTGATCACCACGCCAAAAGCCAACTTACGAGGAAAACGACAATGGCCTCATTATGGAAAGTGGCGACACTCAAGGACTGTTCGAGCACACCTTACTGAGTATACTTAATATATGAACAGGCCGTAATTCCACACAGGTTGAATGAAAGTGGGAAGTGGTCTATGCGTAACGCGAACATAAATTTACGGTTATTCCATACTGAAAGCAAGCTGAATAGCACTGATCAAAGTATCAAAAGAAACTCATTGTAATGGATGATGACATGGTGGTTGCAGACTCAACGATCGACAACATGCTTCGTGGTACACTTTTGCATTACTTTAGTAAGCTGTAGCAACCATTCCCTTCGAACGAATAAAAGGCACCTTGCGTATCGTGCTCAGAAAACTTGCATACGGAGAGTCCAAGATCTAATACACTCAGTGAGGCAGAACCAGCAGGTGAAAGCATGTGGAATTTTCGTTGAGTGCTTGACCGATATGGTCACAAGTTGCCAGGGTCATAAGTTGTGGAGCGAACCTAAATTCCCAAACGATGTAACAATGACCACAAATTGCCGTTGCTCTAGTTTGGCCGCCATCTTAGCACAGAAAGCTTGGTTTACGTATGCAGATTCCCAAAGTCATTTAAACTGGTTCATATTTGGTTTGTGACGCCTCCGAGAATAGAGGATCGTATTAGATTGACACTGAGATAAAGGCTGGTTAACCTTTTTCCTACCTTATAGGAGCCTCCCAAATGAGCTATAATGGTGTAAACTCGAGACAGTCGCCTTCACTTTCGCTTCACTATTTCACTGCGCTGTCCCGTAGAAGCCTTATCTCTGCCTGTTCCGAATTCAGCTCATTGTTCATTCCAACAATAAATCGCAATTCAGTCCGCGTGACACCCATAACCAAACTCCGAAATCGACACTTGCTGGAACCCACTGAGCCCAATCTTTCAAACCCCCTAGAAAGCTTGGTTTACGCATGCAGCTTCCCAAAGTCATTTAAACTGGTTGATATTTGGTTTGTGACGCCTCCGAGAATAGAGGATCGTATTAGATTGACACTGAGATAAAGGCTGGTTAACCTTTTTCCTACCTTATAGGAGCCTCCCAAATGAGCTATAATGGTGTAAACTCGAGACAGTCGCCTTCACTTTCGCTTCACTATTTCACTGCGCTGTCCCGTAGAAGCCTTATCTCTGCCTGTTCCGAATTCAGCTCATTGTTCATTCCAACAATAAATCGCAATTCAGTCCGCGTGACACCCATAACCAAACTCCGAAATCGACACTTGCTGGAACCCACTGAGCCCAATCTTTCAAACCCCCTTTAGTAAAGTGACTTGGGTTAATGTAGCAAAACCTGATCAGAACGTTGAAATTTAGCCTGGTCATTGATATGCTTTTACTTCGGAGGGAGAGATGTTTGAAGACTGGTGCCATTCAAAAGGTTTTAGTGAGATTTAGTGTCACTGTGGCATTTTGCGTCACCTGCATTTGGTTGGTGTCCCGTCTCGAAATCATCACTAAAAGCTACTATCGTTATGTGGAAAATTCAGTTCAGCAATACACAGTACATGCAGTTTTTGCAGTGCTTCCTATCTTTTTCCCCGTTGCTCAACCCACTGACTACATATCCAAAATGTCGTGTCGACTGAGGTTTACACTCGTTTGCTGACATTCATGACGCTAAATTAATCGTTTCACAGTGAACAATGAACAAATTAGACGAACCTCCCCGTCACCGGTTCGGACTCGACTGCACGTCAAACTTTTCGACTGGGATTAAGATAACTGTATGTCCATGTACTTTATTTGACTGCTCAGGGGAAGCTGACTTCGACCTTGATGTGCCAGAGCGCGATCCTCAGATGGCACTTTGACAATCTCCAGCGTTTGTTTCAATTCAGGTTACTGTCTTACTTATTATAAGCCACAGTTTCTCGTTTACTTTCCCGTTGTAGAATCTGTCACATGACCAACTTTCCATAGTAGAAGAAACCGGACGGCGTCGGCTGCATTCTTGTCAGGTTAGAAAGGTGCATTTTAACTTGTCTTTCAAAGTCATTGATGCCTGATCTTCATACGGTTCAACCCAGGATACGGGGAACTTCCTCATCGTGCTGCTTTTCAGGCATGAGCCTGACTGGGTAGCACGACTGAGTGAGCGCGACTTACTGGCTGCTACACGTCCCATTCGTATGTTTCCACGACAAGTGTCTACCTGTTGTCCGCTATTGGAATGCACATGCATATCCCCACAGAGATTTTAACATGAGCCTGGTGAGTTATTTCATTTGAGGACTTCACTGAATCCCCTCTGTTACCTGTCTGGTCAGAAAACTCGTAATTTCAATTTACAGGCTCCGAAGCGCACTAAAACATGCAGATCACACGCTACAGTTGATCATTCCAAACCAAGGCCTTGCAGTTTTTCATCATACCACCTTCTGTGTTTTTTAATTAGTTAGCATGCACATTCCTAAACAAAAGTATATTCATCTGCTCTGACTTTCAGTAAAAGTTCATTCATTGATCCTATGAGAAGTGGCATAAGCTGAGCCTAGAAACCCAGTTACCTTCCTTAGCTCCACCGTTGAATTTGATCAATGGAGTCTGTGTCTGCCAACAATTTCCTCAGGTCTTGTCCACCAGCTCACTGCGAAGCGCAATCATTGACCTTGCCCACAACAGTCATGTGGCTACTGTACCCGGAACACGTGTCTTGCTACCTGAGCATGTACTTCAAACAACCATATAGGCACGGCAAACCTAAGCTCTGAAACCCACCTTATCGATCTCGGAATCTATTAAATCCACCGAGTAAACCCACAGAAAATCGTTTGGGACTTTACTACGAAATGTCAGTTCGAAACTACTAGCGTTTATTGTGGTTGTGCCGACCAATCAGTATCGACTTGATCCATGTAGACAAAACGCACCCTGCCCTTGCGGTAGAACAACGGGCAGGATCCACTTATGTATAGATTCGTTCCGTTCATCGTTTCATTCCTTTCTATGCTTAAATAGGGTATTTTCGATACGCCACTGAGTGGATGATAACGAAATGTTGGCACTTCGTGAGCTCTCTTTTCCCTGTATCGGCAACAAGGGTGAAAATCTTATCAAAACACAATCGATATTCCAATAAACCAATTAGGAAACTTTCTTACTTGGCCATCCTTAGATGAAATGCAATCTCCCTGGAGGCATATTACACTCAAACAGCTGTCTCTAAATGCGAGACAATTTGGCAACGGATAGGATGAATCACTTGTGTATGCGGGTGGACATCTAGAAACAAGGGAAGAAAATTTACATTAGCCCGAGTGACGAATTCAAAAGACTCCTCCTAGCTGACTGCAAAAACGTTTCTTTAGGACGTACCCATCCTGTTGAACTGGTAGGCAGGCCATCAGACTTTAGCCACCTCAGTTCTTTGAAACTAACGTCATCTTCTAAACTGCTACCTTAAGTCTGTACGAGGCGTCTGTTTTTTCTAGCCATCTTAACCATCCATCTTAACCACTGAAGTCAGTGTGACAACCCACAATCACAATCACGTCTATTAAACAAAATTGTGCAAACTTTCACTGTCATCAGCATGGTAGTGTTCGATACTATCACTAGGATTTCGTGCGCTGTAGACAGTATGCAGCTTATCCAACTGCTGACTGCCAAGAAAATAATGCAAAATCGTTAGATTAACTGTTCGTTCCATTGCAAATAATGGTGCGCTTATTTTTAGCAACACAATAAAACTACGTCGTTTATTCATTCGTCCATTCACTAATGCATTTATTTATTTATTTATTTATTTATTTATTTATTTATTTATTTATTTATTTATTTATTTATTTATTTATTTATTTATTTATTGACTCATTTTATCCTCTTCTCTTAGGGCTGTGTGGATAAATATTTAACCTTGTGGTCAAAGGCATGTGGCCCATGAGACTGAACCTCCAAGACGAGTGCGATAATGGCTGCTAGATGATGCGCGCTGCCTGGGGAAATCACTTCTCAGTTCACCTTATTTATCATAATCCATTTCACTTCGTTCTTTTCATTGTTTTAAAACCCTATTCTCGCTGACTTTTTGGAGTAGTACTCTGTGAGCAATGTGTCCAACACCAGGAGCTGCGTTGGTTGGGGCATGTGTTGCCTATGTTTAACCATCGTTTACCGAAGAGAGTGCTGTTTGCTTGTCCACTCCAGAGTGGCGGAAGCAGAGAGGTGGCCAACCCCTGACCTGGCCAAGGGGAACGAAAAAAATCGCGAAAAGTTTGGGTGCTGTCGGTGCTACTCGCCTTCCAGGATGGGGACCGCGTGATCCTCACTGCGTCTGGTTGGAGACGCTGCAAGACATGGCAGTCAACCTATGTCAGTGGCATTCTTGTTGTCACTTTCTATCCAAATTGCCTAAATGAGTGTTTGAAGGTGTAAACGCCTCGGAATGATTGTAGTGAGCGAGCACTAAGTTCGTCACCCTTCCGCCTCCATTCTTTTTTCCACAATAAGGCTTTCAAACAAATCATGGTTGTACGGCAGTGAAGCATCGGTGTTGAACACTGATGTCATGCTGTCGATGATGATGATGATGACGGTGATGATGAGCAATCTAAATAACCTTCCTGTAGTACAATCCCTAGTTATTGGAGCGAAAAAATGGGATTCTGTGAATACACGTTTCGTTCCTAATTTTCTTGTTCCAACTTTTCCGGATATACGGACAATGATTTTCTCCTATCGACCTGCCAAAATTGATCGTGGCAGTGTAGCACTAAGCGTAACTAATCTCTAGCCCCGGAAAACTCAGACACTTTCATAGCCGTCCTGCGCATTGGACGCCAGGGCGTACTAGACACCGAGACGTATGAATGTCCCTAGCTAGGTCACAATAGTCGATGAATTTGCGCCGCCGCAGACTAGGCTTTTGCAGCCGTCACGTGATATGTCTGGCTATGATGGATCGTGTCGCACGTTTGTCGGAGCAGTTCTGACCTTGAATGTAGAGCACGTGCGGCGAACTCAAGCACTGTTAGGGAGCTTAGAGACGGTGACTGGAATTTTAGTGTATTTTGTCAGAGCCAGCTAAAGAAACTACTGTGACCGAGCATCAAACATAGTACTCCAAACATGTTATTTTGTTATCAGCAATACGCGTCAGATTATGAAACATGCACTCAGGCAGCAAGCTGCAAATGTTTTCTGGATATTCGCGACATCTGGATATGGTTACCTGTTTGGTCAGAAGCATCTGAAGTTGGCCCGTATGGGTTTTAGTGAACTCACTACATATTGTTACATTGTGTGGTTTTTGTGCTGGCGCTCAGTGTTGCGTCATGCGCTGTGTAAGTCATCTAGAAATATTAGCCGTGGAGATTAAAACGTCGGGTTTACTACACCATGTTCCCATCACCTTTGTTTTGACAAGACTCTCTCCATTAAAGAGTAAAATGGTCCTTGTGGCGAAAGAGGCTCACTAACCTAGTGAACTCAATGAGATGTCTATTCAACCTTCAACTACAGATTGGTGCTCACGTATATTCTGTGTCATCACAGATGTGTCGTATTGCCTGTTCTGTTCACTATGCCATCTGCCAAATTTAATGCGCGGGGTGGGCCGTGGAATCGAGACGTTCAACTATCACAAGTGTTGGTGGGAGGCTCAAAATGGCTCAGTGATTAGGGCGTAGGCTTACTGACCAGGTCTGTGGTTCGACTGCTCTTATCTAGGGTTGGACAACCTGGCAGTACCTCAACACTCGTGTCCCCTTCGAACGGCACAGCAGCTGAGCATCGAAATGGTTTTACGGCTGAAAGATCAAATGATTTGTTTGCTTACCAGCTACAACTGGGCAATTTGGTTGCAAACGTTTCATCACCAATCGAGGTGGCCTCGACGCTAGTGTCTTTTTCGAACGGCACGGCAGCTGATCATCGAAAGGGTTTTACGGCTGAAAGATTAAATGATTTGTATGATTACCAGCTACAACCTCCATTCAATCTTTACAATAATTTTATTCACTTTTCCAGCCCGGTGTTATAAAACAATTGAGGGCACAACCAAAGATCCCTAACCTTCCTGATCCAACCTCTTCTGCTGAGATGTATGATGCGCATTTCTCAGACAGCCCACTGATGGTTAGTTGCATTCTACGCTTACGATATTCCTTGTCCTCGTTCCGACGACAACTATTTTTTTGACAAAACATACCACTCAAATGCTGTGTTTCGTCAAGAAAATGTACTCCGATATCTCGCGTATCATACCAAGTGAAACAGGAGATGGTCTTGTGATGCACATTAAGTTGAAGGACATCATAAACGAGACACTCAGCTGGATTCAGTTTTGACAAAACCACTCAAATGCTGTGTTTCGTCAAGAAAATGTACTCCGATATCTCGCGTATCATACCAAGTGAAACAGGAGATGGTCTTGCTTGTGACATTAAGTTGAAGGACATCATAAACGAGACACTCAGCTGGATTCAGTTGAGCCTGCCACATCATATTAGTGTGCAAAAGAGTGCAAAAGGTAATCGTTGCTTTCCCGGTCGTCACTAACGCATTATATGGTGTGGTGTGCACTTTTGTATTGTCTGACCGCGCATCAGGTGGTCTCATTGATCTCTTGACCTAGAACACGCTAGTTTCAGTTTCTCAGCTGTCACGCAAATCAGCTGCTGTGACCGTGCTAGGACGGTCCGGTGGCACCATTCCCTGGTCCATTGTTTTATCGTCATGTGCATGTACCACCTCCTGAAGAACGGAGAAGGATCAAAGGGGTCATCGCTACTCACGGCTAGATCCAACAGAGCATCCGATGAACCTAGATTCTGTTTCAAGGCATGCGGACTGCAGTTGCAAACGTACTGACTGCAGTCGAAATTATGGAAACGGCGAATGGAAATTTACTTGTTTCAGTTGCAATCACGGTGGCGTAAAGCTGGTTACTCAGCTAAAAATTTCGGGCTAATAGAAAATATCTGCACAATTAACTGGGCGTTTAGCGAAGGAAGGTGGCTGCTCAGAGCATTTCTGCACGAAAATTAGAAGGCAGCTGCAGGTACCGAAGTCGACGTCGGAAGGTGGAAGACCGTAGCAGATATTTTTTTGAAATTGTTATGCATAAAATGCCTTCGTCGTGAATTAAGCAGTATAACTTTTCGCCTTTTTGCTCGAGAGGTCATCCTAACACTCGAT